GGGAGAGTAACCAAGAAATAGCCTCCCAACTGTCATAAGGGACCAGGGTACTTGAATGATGAGAGAGAAATAAACTAGCCAGTATATGAATGATAAATACAATTAAGGTTACACAAAGTTCTCATTGCCACTGGAAACAGTGAGTAATCACAACTGACTCCAATTTTTGAAGACTTAAAGGAACAGAAGATTTCATATCAAATAGTTTTGGCTCTGGGCCTCTTATTGAGGCCCTTTCCTATGACACTGCATAACACTTAAGGAATAAGCACACTTAGCAAACATTTCAGATCTCGGATGCATTTTGCAAGAACTCGCAGGTGCCCCCACGTTCCATGATTTGTAGTCAGGGCAGTAATATGCTTATGTCACTTAAATACTTCCACAGATGCTGTAGCAGGCAGCTCTCCAACAGGCATAACTTCTTACTTTTGGCTTCCACTGATGGGTGAGCTCAAGTGCAACATTATTGCTTATGTACTTCGTTCCCAAATGACTTCTCCCAAACTTAGTTTTGCTAGCCCACTGAGCCTTATGGGAAAATTAAGTCAAACAATAGTGTCCCTACTGTCAGAACTAATTTAGGACCCTGTCCTCGATGCACTTTATGCCCCTGAATTTATGGGGCTACTCACATATACAACATTACTCGTGTGCGTTCGTAACAGGGGGCACTGAGCCCTCTCCTTCAGTCTTGTTTTCTGGGTCCACATCAGAGGTAAAGAATTTGGTTGTCAAATCGAAGTGAGAGGTTCTCTAAAGAAAATTCATGAAGCACCAACATATTCAGAGAAGTCACCTTTCCGAATTCAGAACCAGCAATTCTAGCCCCCTTTCACCTCTCGTAGCTGCATTCATATGAACTAGTAACAACTGAATACAAAACAAAAATACCAGTCCTACAACAAATATTCCCATAATGAAGTCAGAACTCATTTTATAGATTGTCAAAACAGTAAGACAGTAACATTGTTTTTACTTCTGCTCAAGCCGGTCTCCAAGAGAAATCAGCAATGGCATTAAGGATGTTCCATTACCTTAAAACTATCCTGCAAGACAGAAAAAATAAACTGTCAACATTTAGTTAAAATGCAAAACTGCATTAATTGGGTTCTTTTGCCAGCAGCCAAAGATATTCTAAGTCTAGTTCTGGCTGAAGAAAAAACCAACAAGTTTACATATCACTTGTTCATAGTTCTGCTACAAGTAACATTTCTGAAGGTTATAAAAGATGCCCTACACAACTGAACGGAAAATATTAGTACACCTAATACATGAAGACATTTATTTTTTGGCTTTTTTTCCTTTTAAGAACAAGACTGGGATACACTGAGTAACCATTAGTAGCGCCATCAGACTACCAAAGGAATTAAAAAAAAACAACTAATAAAATGTTAAGCCGCAAGGTAACTGTTTATAGCCTAAGTTTGAATACTTAAAGAGCCACCACTTCTGAAACGGACTGCTTCTACGTTGATATCGGCGACATTTGCATGATAGGTCCTTGTTGGTTAGAAGCGTGTTCCTGCTTACTGTCCCCATGACGTCATAATTTTTAAATCACAACCATCATTGCTAAAAATATATAAATGTACATTGCATACAGTATTCCAATTTTGTATGGAGTGAAGCCAAAGCAGAGTATTCTCAGAAAAAAAGATCCTCTTTCCACGCAAAATACCCTTCCTACTTGAAAAAGTAAGGGAAGACACAGAGTAAGATAAAACAGGAGATTGCCAGAACAAGAAGGTTTTGTCCACCTTGAAGTTTGCCTTTAGGTATCAGTGTCTTCAAATAAATGTGAACCCTATCAACAGAGGAACCTACTTGAGAGCAAAGTAATGTAAGAGTCTAATTCAGTGGCTGTTTTAAAAAGACAATATATTTTTAGCAGCTTGTTAAAGTCACTGAAACCTCAATTGCAAAGTTAGCCTGAAGAAGCCAAATCACTCAAAGTTTTAAGCGTTCAAATTATCAGAATTGCACCTGATAGAGCATTCTGTGTATATTATTAACTCATCACTAATCAAAATTTTGGTCAGGAAATGGATGTAAACAATATTGATAAAACATTTAATGCTTAGAAAGAACACTGATAAATTCACCCCCGTCACATTAAAACATCCACATCTCCCTCATGGTCCTCCTCAGTCACTTTTAAAGAGAGCACTTCCTCATTGAGGAACAATCCACTCAGTCTTTCCTTACGAGCCTGTCTCTGCTCTTTCAGCTGTCTCTTGCGTAAAGCCTTTTGCTGTAGCTTTCGTTGTTTAGAACGTTTCTGTCAAAATAAAGACAAATGACAAAATGAGTTCTTGCGCAGCTACTGGAATTCATGAAAAGCACAGTTTTATGTAGCATCTCTTTTATATAGTATCACATGGGAAGAGCAAATAAAATAAGCAGGTTGGTCAAACCAAAAGACCACGTAGAAAAGTAGAGGTGAGTAGCCTGAATCAAAATCAACTCTCCTTTTAAACTGAATCTCCCTCCTCTGCCTTCACTTTGAGAGAGGGGGAACAATGTCTTCCAGCTTCATTACAATGAAAAGTGAATCCAGCCAGTTTGAGTCTGTGGCTTATTAAAAAAACAGTTTTAAAACAGCAAATGTGAGCAACTTTAGTATAGGATTCTAGTAAATGTACGTTACCTATACATTAGATTCTACTTCGACAAGTGACTACAAAAATGACTCCCACACACTTCCATTCTGTACATTTATTCAAAACTTTACTTGCCTGCTTTAGTGACAACATTACCCTAAGTCTCCTGGTTTTGTAGCCATGCAGAGCCAATGCCACCAAAATGGAATAGAACTGTATCTAGTTCAGCACCATGCAGTATCAGGACTACTTCCTAAGTATCGGTTAAATACGTTCAGTCTCATAAAGCAAGCTTGCAAGTTGAAACAATCAGACTTGAAGACCTTTATTACAGGCAGGAAATCGTGAGAAAGCAAAAATCCCAGTTTGATTCAAAGACCCAATTGGATTTGCTGAGCTGGAAAAATGAACCCTCCCCCCTGCCCACACACACGCATAATTGCACTTATGAACCTATCACATCTGAAACTGAAACTAGAGAGAAAGCAGTGGTCTCAATACTGCTTTTACAGAATCATTTCTCAGCTTCTAACAACAGTGAGACTGCTTAGTAGGCAGCAATATCTCTACAGGAAACGTGTTGGAAAAACACTTTAAAAGAAAATGCAAAAAATCAGATAGAAATTCTATTTGTCACAAAGATTGGGATATTCTTCGATATTCAAGGATCACACCCCGGAAGATGACTTTCCAAAAAGAAGCACATTTTTGCCCTTAAAAAATAAAGCCAATTTTAGTTATATATATATTATTGAACAAGCTAAATATATGTACACATATGTAAAATGTGTATGTATTTGAAGATGGCAGAGATTTACAAAACCAGATGCGTGCGTGTGTGCCCATACATGTGCGCATACATATGCTCTTATGAATACTTACCTTATTCAAATAACCTTAAGCGGCCAAAGTAGATAAGACCTGCCACAGGTGCACATTAAAATACTCTCTTGTCAAATAGCTGACGATGAAACAAATAAGCACAACCTTTCGCTCTTTCTTGTCATGTCACGGGCACTGCCCATTTCAACTCAGCCAAGTATTTTCCACAGGTGCCACGATGCCTGACACCCTCTTTCCATACAAATACCACAATCGCTTCACAGAAAAGACCAGAACACGTGTGCGCAAGATCTGAGACTTACTTTCGAATCCCGGATTCTTTCTGCCGCGCTCGTGGATAAGTTACTGTCACTATGGGCCCGACTCATGTTGGCGCTGGAGTTTGAAGCAGAGTTGCCGGCGCTAGAACTGCTGCTGCTTGCTGAGCTGACCATGCTGGCACTGCTGCTGCTGGCGCTTGCACCACTCACCCCACTGGTACTCGCAGAACTGTAGCTGCTTCTCTTCCAGCTTTCCCTTGCTGACCGCTGGCGAGGACCATGTTCCTTGATATAGTTTCTCACCTTCAAAAAAAGAAGCAGTCAAAGTAAGGAAGGAATGGTGGGACTGCGTTTCCTTGAGAAATCATACTCAAGGAATGAGGGGTAGGCAGGCGGTCATGTTAGTCTGAAGTCAGGGCAAAGTGGCACCATAGAGACTTAGCTGATTCAGAGAGGCACAAGCTTTCAGGGGTAACAGCTTAATCAGATGCTATGAATAAATGCTGTACAACTCATTCAGAGCTAAGGATCGACCCAAGGCATAGCAAGCAAAATGGATTTCTGCAGAGCTGATTTCACTGCCTTTTCATGATTAGCCCACCCCTCACTGCTGATTGGCAGAGAGGGCTGTCTGGCATGCAGCCCCGCCCCTTGCCACCGATTGGCTGAGAAGGCTGTTGTGCAACCTCACCCTCTCCACTGATTGGCAGAGAAGACTGTCATGGGGCCCCACCCCTTGCCACTGACTGACCAAGGGGCAGGGCTGCACAATGGACAGTCCTCTCAGCCAATCAGCGGTGCCCACCCCCACTGCAATAGCCGCTCCCTCCACAGGCTGCGAGACTGAGCTGTAGCCGCCACAAGCACCATTGGCGCCAACTGCAGAGCCAGCAGTTTATTTTTTAGTCCTTTTTTTTTTTCCAGATTTCACAAGCAATGCCCAATTTCATGGTTTTTTCAAAATCCACAAAACCAAGAAGTAGGTACATATTCACAGCATCCGACAAAGTAAGCTTCTGCCTCTGAATTAGTCAGTCTATGAGGTGCCACTCTGCCCTGCCTTCTCAATGGATAATCTTATACATTTCATCTGCTATTAATTACTAAGATCCCAGAAAAGCTAAACTAAGGATGGTTAAATGAACAACCGGTCTATACTGCTAACACTTAATTTTAGTTTTCTTAAGAAAAGCAATTCCCTCCCTAATTATATGGAAATTTTTTATATGAACATTAACTAAAAAGAGGAAAGCATTTAAATATGACGTAGTAGAAAGCTCTTAAAAATCAAAAAAAGTTAACACCAAAAAAGGAAGGGCTGCCAATAATACAAAGACTTCAACCCAACTGCTTTTTAACCAAAGTCTATAAATGGATTAGGTTACAGATATACCCGTAGTAATAACAATCAGAAAAATGGGTATTTAACTATTTTAGGTTAGAACTAAAGTGTATCAAATGTTTTGAAATACTGAAGGGGCTCAAAATCTATGAAGGCCTTGTAGTAGAAAGAATGGAGCGGAACTGAACAAGCACAATCAAGGGAGGGCATGCAGCGTGTTACACGGCTCAGCACCAGACTGTTAAACCTGTATGGTATAGGTTGACCCAGCATAGAGTACTGCGTTGTTTGCCGTACCATTAAAAGAAAAGGCTGATGGCATTTCAAGCAAAGGGACAATGACATCAATAAGTCTGTCTGGCAGCATCTTCTTCCTCTAGTTCAGGGGTGGGCAAAATACGACCTGGGGGCCAGATCCGGCCCACCAGGCCATTCTATATCTGGCCCACGGGGCCCCTAACAAAATTAGAAAATTAATATTTATTTGCTTCTAGCTGCCTGTCAAAGATGACAGGAGCCAGGGGCAGTAGGACCCAGAGAAAGCTAGTGGCAGGACCCAGCAGCAAGGTCTGCCCAGCCCTGGCCCCCCAACCAGAAACCCCTGCCTAACAGAGGCTTCTGGCCTGGGACCATGGGGCTGTTCCTGCTTTTCTGCACCAGAAAGGGAACTGCAGCCCTCAACGGTTTGTCAAAACTCGGTAAGAAGCCCTTCGCCCGAAGTAATTGTCCGCCTCGGCTCTAGTTTGACCAAACTAAAATAATCTGTCATATACTTTGAATGGTTACATGTTCAATATTTCTTCTAAGCCTTGAAGCAGCCATTACTTCAGACTGAGCACAGTTATACAGTCAGGAAGGCCAGCCGCCATGAGACAGCTGGCTTGTTTCCTCCTTGTTGCATCCTGAAAACCTTTGAGGCAATCTGAACGTCATGATGATTCTTGACTGCCTTAGCACCCCCTCCTCTAAGCAGCTGTAAAAGTTAATAAGGAAAGGGAAGAAATCCAAAGCATGCTACCCTGTTGGCCTCTGCATTGCATCTTTCTATATGCCAGCGGTTCCCAAACTCTGACAAACTGCACACCACCAATTTAAAATGATACAACCTTAAGTACCACCAGCAAATTTCTCAGTTCAACCTTATGTCCCACCAACAAATTTTTGTCACATAAATTATAATAAATCTGTTAACGTGTACCACTGACAGGTTGTCTGCGTGCCACTGGGGGTACCTGTACCACAGATTGGTAACCACTGCTATATGCAATCAAAGTAACGCTTGGAATTTACATAAACAAACAACAACAACAACAACAACATCAGGAAAAATGACTACTTATGTTATACACTCATTTCACAATTTATGGTTTGCTTCCCAATTTAATTGTAATAGGGCAACATTTTTCATTACACTATTGTATTTCCCCCTTCACATTACTGAATTCAAAAACTTCTAATAAAATCCCTGCAAAATTTTTCCCTAAAATAGGTTTAGTTAGAAATCCATCAGATTAGAGGAATTACATCACCTCTTACAAGAAATCTATTTGGATTTCATATGAACAAGTCTAAATAACAGATAAGTAAAAGGGTGAATTACTCTCTCCCATAATCAAATATTACTCAATATTTTCTTTGAGTTTTTTAGTACAGCTTAATTTAGTTTTTGCATGTAAATTAAGGCTACACTATGAAGATACATGCGGATGATGAGTTTAATCACAGGAATAATTACAGTGCTTAGAATTACTTATGCAAATGAAGTTATGCTCTTGAGTAAGCATTTGCAGGAATAAGGCTGAAGCCTTGAAAATTACTCAGCGGATATTTTGTTTAAAAATGTTTAGTATTATATGCCAATACTATCATACCCCTGCTCTCTCATTCATGTGTTTTCAATGCCTTCCATATAAGCCTTAAGCATTAAACTTACAAAGAAAATAGCCAAAGCTGATGGGAAAATATTGGTCGCAACCCCATACATGATTTTCCAAGATATGAAGCAACATGCCCCGCATACCACGAGGCAAGGGGTAACTCAGAATCAAGAAGAAAACAACGAAGAACAAAAAATAAAAATAAAAATGTTAACCTACCTGTTTCAGTTTTTCATCTGTAAGACAGTTAAGTTCAATAATAAACTCACTATCTGTTGGTGAAATCTGAGCAGTGGGATCAATGATTTTAATGATATCAAGTTGCTCTCGTAGACCCATTTCGGTACTGACTTTCCGACTCAGGTATTCAATATATTCAACCTAAAGACAAACAAAAACAAAACCAGTATTTTCTGAGACCAAAGAAATACTCTCAAATGTTGCACACTTGGATTCTTTACTCAATGTAGCCAAATATAAATCACAGAAAAAAATTCAAAATGAAAATTAGCCTTCTCCAGATGTAATAAATGAGGCCTTCACCTCTCTGGAGTCACTACCCCACAGAATTTTAAATACATTAGCTGTAACACACAAAGCTTTTCTTAACTGGCAATTTTGTTAAGCCTCAAGTCTTCTATATGGCCGCTGTGGGTCTCAGAAACAGAGCAAAGTAAGTCTTACCTGTTCATCATTTGTCATTGCACTCCATGGGAGTTCATCAAGGTTCCTGTGCTTGTTTTTCTTTTTTGGAAGCAGACAGGGAGAGCTGGGAATACTAGGTATGACATCGGAAAGTACATCACTCCCACTTGTAATGTCGCTGCCAGGCAACTTGTAGGTATGCAAACAAAGAAAGAGAACAAAACTTCAAACAATGCTAGGTAGGAGTAGTAAACTCAGTGCAGAACATGAGGTTGAATAGGCAGAGTTTAATCTCTCAATAGATGCAAACTAACTGCCTTGTAATTATTTACAATCCCAAAGTGCATAATTTCATCCCATGAACCATGTGCAGCACCCAAGTCCAGCAAACTCAACTTGTGTTGCTACCCTAATTGATGTTTTTTATTTTTTCAGTTGCATTCAGGGAAATAGCAGAATTATGCCGCATGTCACTACTCCCTACCCATTTACACAGACCAGCATGTTTTCTATTAGAGCATCATCCAATAAGAACAGCCAGCATTAGGAACCACAAAGTGAATATGCCTTACTTGTATTGGAAAACTCCTTCAAATGTGAGAGAACTGGCTATTTATATAGCTTAACAAAATGAGCTACAAGCTGGTTCAGCCAGCACTCTGGAGCAGTACCAGAGCAGCTGGTTCCAAACACAAATTCCCATCCCTGATAGAAACCCATCCAATTTCACCCCGTGAGGTTTTACAGGGGGGACAGCCAACTGCAAAACGCTGGATTATTGTCACAAAGCTAATGAATTCTTATAGGCTCTAATAAGAGCTTTGGCCCTTTACTGATGAAGGCTATTATTAAAGCTCCTCTTCACGAAGCCACAGTGCCAGCTGTACTCCAGCAGCATCTAATCAAGCCGCTGCCAATAATTACTGGCCAACCTCTCTCTGTGCCTCTGTTTTCACAGGGAAGCCCTGCAAGACTCATCCCAATCCTAAGGATGCCCTCCACTAATGACAGCTTTCAGGTGGGCATGCCTCATCACGAGCCTTTCAGGACACAACAGGATTTTCTTCATGGAGCTTATTTTTTTTGTAGAGATTCCTAATATAAATGGCCAGCCTTCCATTTTTTTCCCCCATTTATGGCTGCCCATAAGGCCTCTCTACCATGGTGATCCACCTCTTGCAACCCCCAGACTAGATCAGTGCACCATGCAATAATTGGGACTACCCTTGAAAAGCAACTAGGAGCAGAGGCAGGCAATTATTTTGAGTGGAAGGCCGCTTACCGAGTTTTGGCAAGTCATCGAGGGCCGCATGCCAGGCAGCCAGGAGCAGATAAATACTAATTTTCTAAATTTTTTAGGGGCCCCACAGGCCACATAGAATGGCCTGCTGGGCTCCAACCAGCCCGCGACCCGCATTTTGCCCACCCCTAAACTACAGCCATCGGTAAGCATAAGAAACAGCACGAATCATGGCCTCTGCTACTCGCTTCTAAATGCCATTCAGGGTAGCATTAATCACCTGAAACTTAACTGCTCTCTGCCATCATGTGATTTAATGCTCAATGCCAGCCAATTTAGCTAAACTTTCCATCATAGGGGAGTCCCAAAGCCTCTAAAACTTACTCCTTCCACAATTCCACTACAGTCAGAGTTTAAATATGCTACCAGGCAGTGCAATACTTAAACAAAACTAAAAAACAAAAACCACACATAATATTAAGAAGTAGGGGAAACAGTCCAGTTACTATTATAACAAAACTCCAACCCCACTGCTTCATAAAATAAGGCACCTGAATGCCTAAAGGGCAGCAATGCAAAACTCTAAAACTCTTGGTTCAGAGATGATACCTTTTATTAGACCAACTAAGGTAATTTTTTGCAAGTTCTTTCTTATATAATTTTTTTTGTGATTTCTTAGTTGGTGTAATAAAAGATATCATCTCTGAACCAAGAGTTTTAGAGTTTTGCATTTCTTTTGGTCTCAGACCAACCCGGCTACCACGTACATCCCTAAAGGGAAGCAACACACACTTGTAAAATCATTTTAGAAACGTTTCTGACATTGGTTGAAATTATTAATGAGTTTACTAATTAGATTTTGGCTTCACAGGTTCATGTGTTAATAACACGTCAGCATGTGAAGCATACAGATAATTACTTTCTGGTGAATATTTTCCACTACTAAATAAAATCTAAGTTTTCTCTTCTGAATGCAAGCATGTTTTGAGAAAGTTCATTTCTAGATAGGTTTCTCATTTAATTGTACCCTACTCAGTAACTATACAAGACAACTGAATTACACTGCTATAATTTTTTTCCTGTGAGTAACAGCAGAATTTTAACTAGCTTCATTTATACAACCACTGACACGTAATTTCCAATTGCACCTCTACTTAAAATGTGACGGCTGAATTACTCACTCTCAGAATTTGCTGTATAAGGCTGTAACAATAATGAAAAAATCTTCTCCAAAGCTCTACAAGTCCAGTCAAGTATGTCTCTACTAACAAATGCTTATAAAATTTTTCTAGCCATTAATCAAAAGAAACCCTGTTAGCTAATCAAATTACTAGGAAACTGCTTCTTTCTAAAATTATAATCCCACTGTTTTCCATGCAATTAACATTTCACAACTCAGTGAAGAACTGAGTCATCAGAATAATTTGGGGTATTTCTATAAGCTGCACTAGAAAACTTACTTTGTAGAGGGGTTATAATCAGATATCTGAATTCTAAAGCAATGGGGAAAAAAGATGGAGCTAATTTTAGCCAATGCTACTGTAAATACATATGGTCACCTGCAGTTTCAATGCAGCACAATATCTATCATATTCCTAATTTAGAGTGTTTACATTTTTATCACATTTGGAACAGACTGTATATTTTTATGGTACTGCAGAGTATGACACAACCACTCCTTGTGGCAGCTGAAGGAGGAATATAACGTTTTAAATTGATGAATACACCTACAGAAGAATAGCATGCTCTATAAATTTCAATTTTAAATAACTTTATAATGGAATGAATGTTAATACATATGTACCTAAGATGACACGCAACATGCAAAGCAAACCACACACTGTAAAGGTCCCATCAGATTGCATATAATAGACAGGGGGGATGGTATAAAAGTAGCACAAATCCTGCTTTCACATTCTTCCTAGTTTGGGATTATAGAAAACAGAGATGGTCTGAGTCCCAAGAACCTAAAACAACAGAAGGCAAATAGAAAACCCAGGGACATTCAACCTACACCCAAATGCTAGCTCAATTCCAGTGGAAGAGCCAACATTCAATGCACTGATCCTGACAGGTCCAACATTTATCACCAGGTTCCATCAGTGTGTCAAATACAGCACCAGATATTCTACCTTCCTGACTGCAACACACCTAAAGATGGCTAAAACCAAATATCACCATAATATCTAACAGCTCTGTACAGAAAGCTGACTAGGCATTTTAGCCATCAAGAGTCTAAGCGAGAACTCTGCAATCAAATAGTCCAACTGGAACATTTCTTTTATAATGAGATTCCCAAAAACGTATCCTTGGCATTCATTATCTATCAAAGAACCTCAACAGTCACTTCTTGAGTCAGAACTGTTTTGTCAACCATAAAAGTAGCTTACCTGCCATTCAAACTCACTGTCTGACCAATCCCAGTATGTGCTAATAGAAGAGGAGACGTCACTGCACACACTACCTTCTGGGAACAGATCAAAAGACGTGAACTCCTGATCATCCAGTAGAGAGTAGCAGTCATCCTGGTCACCAGCTGACACAGATGAAAAGAGCTCTTCGCTGCATTCAGAGCTGGCAACACTTGTTCCACAAGAAGTCAAGTTCCACCTGCAAAACATGCTAAACAAATCAATGGCAGCTCTTGCACAGTTTTCCCCTAAAAAAACACTTTGCCCTTCAAAAATACACATTAAATACCTATATCTGTATCCATTACACACCGGTTTTGCTAAAAGAAGTTAGTTCAAGCTGCATTCACAATCAAGGAAGAGTCAAGAACGAACACACAGACAAAAAAGTCAGATGTAATTTGTACATGTCCTGAAGACTTGCGTCCTGATGTTTCAATCAGATTTCCAATCAAAATGTACTTTTAAAATTTTACCATTTATTGTTTGTATTTTTAAACATACATAAGGAGTTTGATGAGCAGAATTAAAGACAAGGACACTAGGATACTAGATGAGGTTTAGCTTGCAAGTCTCACATTACATTTGCTTAATATAGTAGTTAAAAGCACGGCAACATGGGGCTGCGCAGGGCGTGCAGGAGACTCCGGCGCAGATCTCTGCTCCCTGCAGAGCCAGGTTTCGTGGCAGGGATTCCCCAGCTCTCCGATCATTCCCCTAGCTCTTCCCGGGAGGCACGAGCCCCCGGATCTGTGTGCTGGGTTTCAGCAGGCTGCTGCTGCATGCTGGGGCCAGCAGCGGCAACGCAGTCTCGGTGCAGGTTGTGCCACGCAGCTGCTGCTGGCCCCAGCCTGCTGAAACCCTGCACGCAGATCAGGGGCCCACGCCCCCTGGGAAGAGCTGGGGAAACAATCAGAGAGCGGGGGAATCGAACTGGGAGCTAGATGTCAATATCAGAGCAGTCCTTCCCCCCTCCTTCTTAGTTTTTGTTTCCCTGCAAGCCCAGCTCTAAAACTCCAAAATTCTCCGAAACATTCCCAAAACATTTCAGAGCCTTCCAATTCGCTTCGGATTCGGTGTTTTGGGCACCAAAACAGCCCAAAACACCTCCAAAACGAAACGGCTGCCGAAATTTCACACAGCCCTATCAGCAAGTAATTCTCATGTTTGGAGGCCATGTAAAACCAAGACTTTCAATGGATAGGTGAGGAGGAAACATCTGAGAAACATTTATTTAATACTAGCAAATTGTCCATCAAGAATGACCGGGAGGGGAGGGGAGGGGGTCCCGCTCCACCCCTCTCCCGCCCACAGCCACTCCACGCCCCCTCCCGGCCACTACTCCGGGTCCAGCCCCGCTCCATGCACCCTCCACACCACTACTCCGGGTCCGGCCCCACTCCATGCCCCCTCCACACCACTACTCCAGGTCCAGCCAAGTCTCTCTCACATCGTTAGGTGTGGAAATCTTTCTTTCTTTCTTTCATATGGCTTTAGGAGAAAGAGCTGTTGTCACAGTTTTAATTCCAAATTCTCCAGCCAGACTAATGCCTTGCTGGAAAGCAAATGTGACTCATGGATGTCACCCTCACACTTGTATCTGGGGCAGGATGTTATGTGCTCCATGGTTTGGTCAGGGTTTCCACAGCCATAGCCAGGTGAGATTTTTAAGTGCCACATGCACATCAGGTACCACACCAGCCATGTCCGATGCGTATCCTATTAAGGGTTGTCCACATGCTCTGTGGAAGGCTGAAGCCCAGCGGTTGCATTGTTGGGTCAGAAATAAGGTGTTTATTTGGGAAAGTGTTTTCTGCCCAAGCTTTCCTCCAAGGTTCTTCAGTGTTGTGGTATAGGAGGTGCTTGGTTCATGTCCAAAAAGGTTTTCCTGAAATCATGTGACGAGTTGGGAGATCTGGAAGGTCTCTGTGGATGGGAAGGTCCAGATTACTATTGAAACGCATTATTTCTCTGTACTGTGTGTTGCTGCATCTGGTCGAAGCGAGGGATGAATAACGTTTGAAAGTACCAGTAACCACTGCACTGGAGTTGATCTCCAAGTTCCAGGGATAGTCCTCATTACTGAGTTAACCTGTGTGGAAACAGGCTGCCTAAACAACACTGAATGTGCCATTTCTTACAGGAAAGGGCTGCCTTGTGAAAGCACTGCAACTGTTTCCCATGTGCACACTCCATGTACCATATTTCACGGTGTACAAGTCAAAGTTCGATGCCAAAATATTTACCCTTAAATTTCCACCTCAACTTATACACCATCTCAACACAAATCCGGACCCCGCGCTGATGCTTTGCTGCACCCAACCCACGGGGAGGCGGCATACTGGCATCTAGGGGCTTCCCTGGCACTGACTGAAGCCAAGCTGCTGCCTCCCCTTCCACCCATGCCCAACACCCTGGAGCCAGTCTGGGCGCCCAATCCCTGTGCCTGTCAAGTCTAGCCTGGGGACACTTACCCATGGCCCAGTGGCTGCCCCACAAGTAGAACTTGGCCAGAGGAGTGGAGCCACTGCCTGACAGCGCAGGAGCCACGGCACGGCCACCGGCTACCAGCAGTCCCAGGGTGCAGAGCAGCAGGAGCAAGCAGCCCGCTGCCAGCAGCCCCAGGGCACGGAGCAGGACCAGCAAGTGGCAGCAGAGTGGTGGGGTCAACTTATACACCAGATTTACAAAAAAACTAACTTTTTTTAACAGGAAAATGGGGTCAACTTATATACAGCACAGACTTGTACACCATGAAATACAGTACTCAAAAAACTGGATGAAGACAAGAAAGGAATTCAGAAGGTGTTTGCTTGCCAAAGCAGAGCACCTGCAGCATAAAAAAAAAGGGTGTCACGTGATGATTACTTGAAATTCAGATACACGGCCCTAGTAGACAACAGGGATAATGAGCAGCACACCCAGGGAACAATGCTAAGCATAAAGTGGTTTCATTAAATCAAGACAAGCTACACACTAGTAGCCTGAAGATGTGACGCTCTAACTCAATAATGACTAATTAACTGGGTGAGGAAAGCTAAAAACACGCTGAGTTGAAAAAGCTCAGAAAGCGATAGGTACATCAGAAGGAGAGAGATCCATCAAGAGCTTAAAATAAGTTTTTAGTTTGTCCAAATTCATGCATGCATTGATCAGAAATACACAAAACTCCTTCTGCTCGCATCACATTTCTTTTTATAGTAATAAAGAGCCAGGGAATGGCAAAGAAGTAAATGAATTCCCACCGAGCAACGCATCGCATTTGCAAATACTTATGTTGCTAGCGTGTCAGCTTTCCAGTATTAGCTACCGAGTTAACTTATTTTAATGTAATTCCAACCAAATGTTGCCTTAGCCTGAAGGCATTTACAAAGCGTTTGCCACTTTTACAGGAAAAACCCTTGTCAACAAAGGGAATTAGATACTTTCTTGCACAGGTGGGCGGGAGGGGGGGGGCGACACACGCGACAGGACAATGGACGGACGACGGGACGAGACAGGACACTCTTTTGCAGCTTTTAACGTTAGAACCATCGCAGCTAGTTTGGAGTCGCGCGTGGGGCCTGCGGGTCTCCTGATGGGAGGTGGCAGGCGGAGCGCCACGTCCATGCAGAAGTGCACAACGAGGCTCTCGGGTACACGGGACTGGGGATCCCCCACACCCTGGTCCTGGACCACACTGTCATGCCAGGACCTGGGTTCAGGAAGGCTTGTGCTCTACCTGTGCATGGTACTGAACAGGGCTGTAAGGGGGCATCCCCCCGCCTTGCCCATCTCCTCCACCCTGAGACACCAGCGACACCCCCCCCAGTCAGTGCCCCCTTGAAGGCTCACACCTGTGCAAGGAGCAAGAGCAGCTCAAGCGACTGCCTCCCTACAGGGCGGCCTCCATTGCCCCTTCACCCCCTACACTGCAATGGTCCAACCCGGCCCCCCGAACACTGCAAGGGTCCAACCCGGGCCCGGCCCCCCAGACACTGCCATGGTTCAATGCAGACGCGACCATACCCCAGTCCCCCGGCGCTGCAATGGTTCAACCCGGCCATGCAGTGACCACCGTCGCCCCCCCACATACTGCAATGGTTCTGTCCAATCGAGCGCACCCCCCTCCTTCCCGCCCATGGTTCAATGCAGACGCGACCATACCCCAGTCCCCCGGCGCTGCAATGGTTCAACCCGGCCATGCAGTGACCACCGTCGCCCCCCCACATACTGCAATGGTTCTGTCCAATCGAGCGCACCCCCCTCCTTCCCGCAGCGGTGGTTCAGCCCGGCCGGGCCCATCCACGCGGGTCGGGCGGGCGGTACCTGCACGAGTGGAAGCGGCGCAGCGGGTCGGTGCGGTGGCAGGACGAGAGCTGGCAGCCGAAGTCGCTACCGTCCAGGCAGCCCTCCTCGCTCAGACTGAGACCGCCGCGCGGGCAGGGCTCGTCCGGCGCCAGGAACTTCTCGTACAGCTCCTCGGTCATGGCGGCGGCGCTATCCC